CCCTTTCTATTTCCTTTATCATTATTCTTATTGGTGGTCGCAGTAGTGATTTGTGTTGTACCTTAGTTACTAAACTGTTCTTATCTCAGCCTGTGGCAGTTGCATTCTTTATGATTCTCCTCTCCGTCCCTCCAGGAGTAGGGGGAGGGCAAGAAGGGGGAGAGTGAGTGAAAGCTGTCTGGTTGGGGTTAAACCACGACAGGGGGATTTTAACTACCCTGATATTTGCTGGAAGACTTACACAGCTAATCATTCACATTCTAGGAGGTTCCTCCAGTGCACTGATGATAACTCCTTAATGCAAATGGCGGACAAACCAAGTAGGAGAGGAGCGCTGCTGGATCTAGTACTCACCAACAAGGAGGGTCTGGTTGAAGTGGTGATGGTCAATGGCAGCCTTGGCTGCAGTGATCATGAGATGGTGGAGTTTAGGATCCTGTGTGGGAGGGATAGCATACCTAGCAAGGCCACAATTCTGGATTTCCGAAGGGCCAACTTTGGCCTCTTCAATCAATTGCTAAGAGAAGTTTCATGGGAAAGGGTATTAGGTGGTAAAGGGGCTCAAGATAGCTGGTCAGCATTTAAGGACCACTTCTTCCAAGCTCAGGATCAGAGTGTCCCAGAGGGGAGGAAATCAAGAGAGCTAGGAGACCAGCAAGGTTAAAGAAGGAATTGCTGGGCAAACTCATGTGGAAAAGAGAATCTATGGATTATGGAAGGAGGGGCTGACCACTTGGGAGGAATATAGGACAGTTGTTAGAGGATGTAGGGAGGCAATTATGATAGCTAAGGCCTCCTTGGAACTTAATCTTGCATGTCAGGTTAAGGACAATAGAAAGGGCTTTTTCAAATACATAGGGGATAAAACTAACACAAGAGGCAATATAGGCCCACTGTTGAACGAGGTGCGTGCCCTGGAGACAGAGGATATAAAGAAGGCAGAGGTGCTGAATGCCTTCTTTGCCTCTGTCTTTACTCCTGTAGACTCTCCCCGGAGGCTGAAGATTCCTGTAGCCCCATAAGGATTCAGGACAAAGGAGGAGTTTGCTTTGGTAGATGAGGATTGGGTTAGGGATCAGTTAAGCAATCTGGACATCTATAAATCTATGGATCTGGATGGAATGCACCCACGGGTGCTGATGGAGCTGGCAGAGATCATTGCTCGGCCACTCTCCGTCATCTTTGGTATGTTGTGGGAAACTGGAGAGGTGCCTGAGGATTGGAGGATGGCAAGTGTCATGCCAGTCTATAAGAAAGGTAAGAAGGAAGACCTAGGTAATTATAGACCAGTCAGCCTTACCTCCATCCCCGAAAAGGTGATGGAATAACTTATTCTTGACATCATCTCTAGACATATCGGATGAGGGGGTCACTAAGAGCAGCCAACATGGTTTTGGGGGGAAGTCGTGTTTGACCAACCTTATAGTCTTCTGTGAGGAAGTAACTAGGTGGATGGATGATGGTAGAGCAGTTTATGTGGTTTTTCTTGATTTCAGTAGGGCATTTGATACTGTCTCCCACAGCATCCTCATAGATAAGCTAAGGAAGTGTGGGCTTGATGATCAGGTAGTGAGGTGGATCAAGAGCTGGTTGAAGGGAAGAAGGCAGAGAGTTGTGGTCAATGGGGCAGAATCTAGCTCGAGGCCTGTGACTAGTGGAGTACCTCAGGGGTCGGTGCTGGGACCAGTGCTGTTTAATATTTTCATCAACAACCTGGATGAGGGAACTGAGTGTATCGTCAGCAAGTTCGCTGATGATGCTGAACTGGAAGGAGTGGCTGACACACCAGAAGGCTGTGTTGCCATTCAGCAAGACCTGGACAGGCTGGAGAGTTGAGCGGGGGGAAACTTGATGAAATTCAACAAGGGCAAGTGTAGAGTCTTGCATCTGGGGAAGAACGGCCCCATGTATCAGTACAGGTTGGGGGTTGACCTGCTGGAAAGTAGTGAAGGGGAAAGAGACCTGGGGGTCCTGGTGGATAGGAGGATGACCATAAGCCAGCAATGTGCCCTTGTGGCCAAGAAGTCAATGGCATCCTAGGGTGTATTAGAAAGGGTGTGGTTAGTAGGTCAAGAGAGGTTCTCCTCCCCCTCTACTCTGCCTTGGTGAGGCCGCATCTGGAATATTGTGTCCAGTTCTGGGCCCCTCAGATCAAGAAGGACAGGGAACTGCTTGAAAGAGTCCAGCGCAGAGCCACAAAGATGATTGAGGGAGTGGAACATCTCCCTTACGAGGAAAGGCTGATGGAGCTGGGTCTCTTTAGCTTGGAGGAGAGGAGACTGACGGGTGACCTCATCAATATTTACAAATATGTAAAGGGTGAGTGTCAGGATGATGGAGCTAGGTTTTCTTCAGTGATGTCCAGTGATAGGACAAGGGGCAATGGGTGTGAACTGGAGCACAGGAGGTTCCATGTGAACATCAGGAAAAACTTCTTTACTGTGAGAGTGACAGAGCACTGGAACAGGTTGCCCAGGGGGGTTGTGGAGTCTCCTACGTTGGAGATATTCAAGGCCTGCCTGGACAAGTTCCTGTGTGAGGTACTCTAGGTTACCCTGCTCTTGCAGGGGGGTTGGACCAGATGATCTCTTGAGGTCCCTTCCAACCCTTGGGATTCTGTGATTCTGTGATACTGCTGGGAACCATGATCTAACTGCAAGAGATGATAGGATGAAACCAAGCCAAAACCAGTAAAAGTCAAACAGGAGCACATCAGAAAGTAGTGAATCAGCATATCTTTTGCGTGATCCTCCATCCCATTGTCCACAATACAGGAGAGGGCTCTAATTTCTGTCTCCCTTACGTGCTGGGATAATAAATCAGTGAATAGGCACGAAATAATCTTTCCATTTACCCTTCCTTTAATCTCTCTCATCATACATTTTCAGAATGATGGGTAAGAAGTAAAGTTCTGCAAAGGGACATAACCGGATGATAAAATGAAAGAAAATTGGTTCACAGACCAGTTCCAGCTCCATGAAATTGCAAAACCCATCCGAAACTACTGGCTTTGGGAAGCTCCAAATCAGACCCTGCTGGCTGAGAAAAGCAGGCAGGACAAGAACCCCAAACAGAAAGGGGGGTTTGATTTGGTGAGAGTTTGTAAAGTGGGGAAGGATACTTTTAAAGCTTCATATAGATTGTCTTTAAAACAAAAAGAAATGTTACTATTTTGCGTCTTTTTGTTAGTGTAGTAGCTAAGATCAGCTAAAGGAAGTAAAAGAAGTTGAAATATTTATACTTCCCAGCTGGTCAGACTGATTTTCTCTGGAGAACGTGGATATCATAATATATTTTACTTGGCACCCTGGGATTTTTTTTCTTTGCTTGAAATGTTTTTTTAATGAGAAGTTGCATTTTGGGGACATAACCTTATATGAACACTAGCTGCGAGAATCTGATATATAACTTGCTATGCTGAAGAGTCTCTCCAGGTAGTACGCTTTTATAAAACTCACAAAATGAAATTCATCAGTGTTCGAAAACTCGAGGCTGGGTTGTGAACTGTGAAGGGTTTTTTGTCTTATGTTGGTGTATGTTCGGTTATGCTCAGCTCAAAAAGCCCTAGTGAAATTCCTCTGAGCATCTGGATTAAATGAATTTGTGTTGCTAATTGTTTAGGTTGACCTGGTAGATGTCCAGCAGCTGTCTTTATGTTTTTTGTGGTACACAGTTGCAGTCTGTTTAGAAAAAAAAAAACACAAACACACAAACTCCCTTCATGGCCAAGCAATTAATTCATGTGCAGAAAATGGTGTATCATGTATTGTAACGTTAATTTATCATACATACATGATGAGTTGCAAGCAAATGAGGTATAAATGAGACTCTTTGTTAGCATAATTATGACTGAAAGGGACGTCCCATGCTTGGAGAGAATGTCATGTCAGAAACCATGGCACAATGTGGTTTAATCTAAGTTAAATTTAGCTGTTTGGTGAACCTTTCTATCTGAACAGTGCTTCCTGTAATATGCTTCCAGATAGAGAGTGCTGCTAATTAATGCAGATCATATAGTTGCATGAATCTTAATTTCATTCACTGGCATGAAATATGTAAATATAAATAAGGAAAAGTCTAATTACCCGTATGTCAGTAACTCTTAATTCCCATATATCAGTAATACAGGTAACTGATCATCTTCAGTTTTCATATCAATGCCTATTTCAGAGTACTAAACCCACCAAAAATGTTTTGATTCATTTGGAGGCTATATATAAACTTTGGTGCATTAAGAAAAAATCAAGGTGAGATTACCTGTTTTAAGTCTTCATTTGAAATTATGAATATGCTGAAGTAACTTTCCCAGCTAGACATATGTTTAAAATGTCATGTTGAACTAATGCTTTAGTGCTTCATTAGGATAGATTTATAAGAATCTATTCTTTTTGTTCATTTTTGTTTATATATTGTGTTGTGCATATAGCATTCATAATGGACAAGATGGGTTGGACTAGATGATCTGGGTCCCTTTCCACCAGGTATTCTTTAATTCTGTGATTTACACTGTCTGTGAAACAATAATGTTCTGGTTCACAGTGTATAATGTTACCCAGACTATACTTAGTGCCACAAGGCAACCCAAGGAGAGACAGCTGAGGGCACCTTAATTAATAAAAGGTATAATGCATTACAAAGGGATTTAATTTCAAGTATGATATTTCTTTTCCTTTTCCAACCCAGTATGATATTTTAATACTTCTGAGTCTTCAACATCTCTTTCTTGGTATGGCTGGGTAGCATAGATGCAGAGCAACAAACAGACACTGTTTTAAAGCTGTTTCTAAAGCTATGTTCATACCACTCATTTTCTGAATTTTTCTGATGTCTGAGTCTGTACTCTTCTAAATCCTGTTTTCATTTCAGGTTCTTCATATTGAGCTAGTTTCTTTTGTTGTCTTTCTGTCATCAGATGTCTTTTTTGGGGAAAAGACCTGTTTGTTAAGCAGATGAAGGGGAAAAGAATTATTAATCAAATCTTTTGTGCTGTTTCCATACAGGGACGAAGAGGCTTAGGTTCAGTCTTCGTTTGGGCATCTGGCAATGGTGGAAGGAGTCGTGACCACTGCTCCTGTGATGGCTACACCAACAGCATCTATACTATCTCCATAAGCAGTACAGCTGAAAGTGGGAAGAAGCCATGGTATCTGGAAGAATGTGCATCCACACTAGCGACAACATACAGCAGTGGAGAATCCTATGACAGGAAAATTGTATGGTTTAAATTTTTTTTTTTTTTTTTTTAATTTGTCTGAGTTTGTGTTGGCATAGTGACTTTGGAAAAGGGAGAGGAAGACAACTCATTTATACTAATTAATGAATAGCTTCAGGAAAAGATCATCTGTGGACAAGTTCATTAAGCCCCAGTGTGTTACTCAGCTGGGACCAGTATACTGCTCTTAGAAACAAGCATGTGTGCCTTTTCATGTTGCAGCCTAATGCAATGCAGGTACACCATATTTGTAGCAGGTTTTTCCACTCACCTTGCTGCTGCCAGTTCGGAGCGATGCTTTCAAAGATCCTATTGCCACTGCTATCGAAACAGATTTCCTTCATTACAAATACCTTGTAACCCATCAGTAGGCCTGAGAACATAGTCTCCTCTTGTTTTTAATCCATTTATCAATGGTTTTCATATTTTACATGCATGGTATTATCAGTTTTCCTATGTACCTCTATATTTTTTCAGATTTACTTTGATCCAGCATCATTCCTCTCTTACATTCAAAGGTACTCCATTATCACTCAGATTGCTGACTAGCTGATGTATTGTAACCAAGATTTAGCTCAGAAGTTACCTTTCCTGTATTATTCCTCATCTCATTCCAAAACAGCCAGCATCCATTTTCCGTTACCTTCTCATCTTCTCTGGACGCTAACAAATTGTTACAATTCTGTTTGATAATCTATTGATACCATTAATATTTGTTTGCTATATCTGCTTTTTCAAATTAAGTGAATTCAATATACTTTCCAGTATTCAGTATTACTGCTTTTGAACCCTTTTACTAGGTTTAATCAGGTTTGCTAATGTTGTCCACTTCCCTGCTTATTTATTCCAGTGTATAACTTACAGATCGTATGTTCTTCCTGATCAGAAAATTTAAGGATTTTTTTTTCCCCTAGATGTTTCTGTAAACACACATCTAACATAACTTTCTTTCTGGCTCTTAGCAGATACCTCTCTTGGCAATGGTGAGGAGTTAAAAATTCTTACAGCTATGTTTTTTTTAATACTGTCTGCCTTGTTTTCAGGATTCTGGGATGCTGGCCATCCCTTCTTGGGTTCGTCCCTATTTTCAGATGATCTAATTTTTGTTTTAAACTTGTTCTGAGGTACTTCTCATTTCCAGTAATTTTTCTGTTCTTAACTTGCTTTTCCCGACTGAAACCTTATCTGTCTTCCTGGCATGTTTCTTATTCTCCCTGATAAATAATAATAAAGACAATAAATTACTGTGTCTCCTAGCAGTCCTCACTTCTGTAATTAAATCCTCTCTGCTGTCCTTTAAAACACTTTTGCTAACTTCATGTTTAAGTGAGGCTAATACAATATAAGGTGAGCAGACATGACTGTTGTTTGCCAGCCTGGCCTCTTGCTTAGGCAAGTCTGTGGGCCTCCCTGAGTCCTTCAAATCCAGCAGTTGCTGTCAACTCGACAATAATTTTCATAAAGACAATCCTGTTTAGAAAGTTTCCAGTGACAAAAAATCCACTTAAATTTAGGGCAAGTGATTTTAATTACCTATTGCTGTTAAAAAAACTTCTCGTTTGCTATCTGAGCTCCTCTAGCTTCAATTTCTAGCCATTTGGTTGTGTCACAGATTTTACTGCTAGTATGAGAAGCACTCTAGTTGTCTAATGTCTTTCACTGTAGCCATGTAGCCTGAACAGTTAATCCCTTTTGATGGATAAAGGTAAACTGCTTCTATCACTCTGTAAAAGGCATGTTTCCTTCCATTTTATGAGCTTGGAGTACCCAAACTGCACACACCAGGTAGTAGCAGTGTCAGTGCCAAATGCACAAGAAAATGTGTATCCTTGAGTGCCAGCTCAGTTACCCCTTCTTTATACATTAAGCCTGAGACTTGCCAGCTTTACAGCCATGTAATGTGTTCATCATTGTATGATGTCCAGTCAGCTCTCAGAGCTGTTGCTTCTCTGTTTCAGAATTAGTGGCCCAAGGGCAGATACGAAGGCAGTTACAGTCTCTTTACTGAATCATTTACCACTGGGTCTACTGGTTTAATACTCTATCCAGACCAGCCCTCATCATCACTTCTTCTTTCTCCGAAGTTTCTCTAAGTACAACATTCAGGGTTCTTGAGTTTTCTTCCAGGTCTTTGATAAAAGCTTAAGTCATACTAAGACCAAGGACCAAATTGTGTAAGGCCCGATTAGAGTCTCGTTTTTTATATGTGCTGTAAGCACATACATGATTTCTCTGCTTCTAAGTACGTGTCTGATTTCTTATATATGCTTAGCTTTTGAGACCTTCATAATTATTCTATTTTAAATCTATATATTGTTGAGTAAGCTTTTAATCTTTTAAATAATTTTAATTTTTTAATGTTCAGTATCATATTATGTGTCTTGTAGAATCCTAATTATGCTACTTTCAACAAAGTGGTGGCCAGAAAAATAATTTGCAGCACTTTGGCAAGCTCTTTTCCAGCAGTTTATGTTGTCCACCAATAAATATAATACTAGTTAATTAATGTATTCATAATTAGTTTAAATCTTGTATAAGTTATTTTACACTAGATAAAAGCTTGGCAAATTGATGAAATTATTAGGGCAATGCTGCTTACCCTTTCAAAATATTGACACTGCATGGGGTTTTTTTTCAGTCTTCTGGAACTTCTCCAGTGTTCAAAGACTAGCTAAAATCAACAGTACAGTCTGACATGTTCCCTTTCCAGCTCTTGTAGAAGTCTTTCGTGCTTCCAAACTTTCTGATTTAAACTTGTTATTTAAAATAGCTATAAATAGGAAGATGATTTATTATCTTTCTGTGCTCTGAATTTTTTTTCCAAAAAGGAGCATTCAGTGAAATAACCATTTACTGTACAATGCTATTAACTATTCAGTTATTTCTGGACAATTAGAACAATATTGCTTTGGGATTATTTTGCTTCTGATATTCTTCAAAATGAAACATCCTTACACCTTGTTCTAATCTTGTAAGCTTCAACATTTCACCTTTGTCCTTCCTTGCCACCTTTGTGCACCTTCCATCTTCTAATTTTTATTCCTTGCTATCCACTTCGTATTTTCTTCACTTTTATTTATTTATTGTTAGCTAGTTAGTTATTGCTTCTTTCACCTGTCAATACTTTTTTTTATTGACCAGCATATCCTTGCTCATTTTTACAAAAATCTGTTAAAATATCTGTATGTTTCTCAGTCTTTATTTGTAGTTTTCTAGTCAGCTGGTTTAACCTTTGTGCATCCCTCTGGTTTTTTGATAGCTGTAGTTTTCTTTATGATTGTCTTTTTGTCTTCCATTCTTTTCAGTTAACACGGACATTCTGCTTTTACGGAATGCAGAGTTACTATTTCAAGATGTATATAGGTATTGGTGTCGGTATTTCTGTACTACGGTATTGCAGATTCCCATATGCTACTGAAGTTTGTTCTGAGTTACATGACAAAAAGTAACAGCAACTTAATTTGATTTTGATTGTTTATTTCTTACACGTCACTCCATTATGAATTAAACTAGCATAAAAAACATGTGGAGGTGATCTCACCTTTATTGTTAAGAGACTTCCTTCTGAAACTTTTTTTTGTGTTACTGAAGTATAGTACCTATCACTTCCAGAATTTGTGCACTGTGCTAATACGTAGAGTTTTTTACTTTACTGTAAGATTTTTGAAGGTATACTTTACAAAGGAGAGATTAATTATCATATATATAGCATAAACATACATTATCTCATAATTAGGGAAATAATGCAGAGATCTTACATAAACATTATTGAAAAAAATAGAAATATGCCTCTTTAAAAACATCCTCAATGTCTCCATTGGAGATCTCGCACAGGCTACTGGAGAAAAGTAAAAATAAATTTTAATTGAAATCCATCAATTCTGCAAGCCCTGATTGCTTTTACTAATCAGATCCTACATCCTTTCGGGAGCAGTCCAGCTGCATATGCCAATTTCAGATTATTCCTACACAGTGTATCATTTTGCACAGCAAATGGTAAAAACATAAGTGTACTAAGGATCCATAGGAAGTAATCCAAATCCATTCATCCTTTGTTTACCAGACGTTATCCTTGACTACTTTTGTGCAAAACAACTTCGATGTTGTCTGTGTGATAAGATGCACTGATCTCAAATGCTTGAATAGCAGACCATAAATATTCCCTCCAAGACTATTTTTCCTGCATTTCAGTATCAGTTGATTTCTGAAACACACACCCTACTTGAGGGTGTTTTACTACTTGGTATTTAAAGCAAGGCAAGCATGTTTCCCCTCCAAACACCTTCAGTTACAAAGCGAAACACTGTGCAGTAGATGCGGTCAGTAGCTTTCTGTGTTGCGTTTAAACCAGTTAACTCTCATAATGAGTAACAACTACATGCTTCTGTTATGCTTCAGCCCAGTGGGAAATTACATGAAATTGTGAGGCTAGTTCAAACTGAGTATTAAGCAGTCCTTCAACATGTACACATATGGAAGCAGGAACTTTACTGTCGCCTCTGTTGACTGTCTTGCTTATAGCCTGATTTTGAAAGCGATAATGATAGTATCATTATTGTCTTCTCCAACTTGTATACTAAAATCCATTCCAACTGAAGACCTATCAAACCTCACTTAGCTTGGAAAGAAATCTTGCTTGAACCAAGAACTGAACTAAAGATAACTGAAAATTTGGAGGACAAAGTTTTTCAACTGCTGTAAAATGCTACAAGAATCTAGAATAAAGATGTGTATTTATTTTCATTATTGTACCACACATCCTTTTCACTGCATCGTATCTCACTTTTTTGTTTAGACTGCTGCCTCTTTCGAGTCAGATTTTCTTCATATTTCTTCACAAAAAGCTTAGAGCTTGTGATAAGTTTGAAGGGGAAAATAATTATAGAAGAAAAATAGAAAGATTATTATTAAATTTAAAATATCCAAATTCTATTATGCATATGAATATATATTCAGTACACAAATTAGCTATGAAGAGGTCAAGTTCATGCTGTAACATGAAAAAAGTAACAGTATTTGATCAAGGCTTATGCTGATTTGGTTTGTTGGAGTGAGACTCCTGTATTCAGAATAGGAAGCAAAAATACTACTGCAGTAAATGAGGAAGATGTGACGTGGTGTGAGATTTACAATCAAAATCAAGTGAACTCATTCTTACTTTTTGTCATATACTTTTAAAAGGTTTTCTAGTCTGGAGGGTTTTTCGGTCTTGTACAATGATAGCATAAGAACATAATTTCTGCACAACTCTTTTTTTGAGCTTTTTTATCTACTGACTTTGAGCAAAACTAAATGGAAGCAGATTCTGGCCTGAAATAGCTTGAGCTAACAGTTACAGTTAAACACACAATGATCATCTTGCATGATTTCCTTCTCCCTTCAAATGTGCTTGACTTCATGCTTTACCAAATCTTATCGTAGTACTGTTAGCACATTATTGGGAACAGAATTTCCAACCTTTTGGATGTATTGTCATGCCCAAAATGTGCAAACTGCCTTTCACAGATGCAGCTGGGTGTATGCCTTTTATATAGACTCTTAGAGAAAAGAGTTAGGTTTACTTTTAGGTGCTTGTAAGAGCAGCTGCAAAGTGCCAGCACAGGTGTAGGTGTAGAAGCTCGCACTCTGGGACAAGGGCAAATAATAGGTAAAGACCATAGAGATATACTTTACAGAGCTTATCTCTCAGAACACAGTGAGTGCAGAAGTTCTAGCTAATGCACAGTTGTTAAGGTATTTTTTTCTATTATTCTGTTCTCTGCTGTTTTGAATACTGTAGGACAATGCTGGAAGATAGCTTCCTCAACTGCAGACCATGCAGCTAGGGCAGATTAAGCACAACCTAATACAGTTATCAATAGGGGCCTTTCATTTATCAGACATGTTGCACAAATGCATCACATTTCCTTTTAATTCCTTTTTCAAATTATTTCTTAAAGCACTAAGGAATCTACATATGAAAATCGCTCACAAACATAATTTATGAACCCATTGCATCACTTAACCTTCTGAAAATAACTTAATGTTCCACCTATTTCTTTGTTTTATAAAAAATGCCAGTTCATCTCCTGAGTCCCTTCTCTCCTGAGATATACTTCTGCCTTGCCAACTAGGTTCTACTCTAATTAGAACTTAAAACAAAACCAAAAAAAAAACCCTACATGTCTTGCCAGTTCTTAAAACACAAAAAAACCCTGTTCTTGTTCAGAAACGTTCGGTGTATCAAGATACACAGAACCTGCCACCTTCAATTTTGAGTAGATTCAGATACACAAAAGATATGAGAAGGAACAGTAGATTTTCATTAAACCCATGTCATTTCTAGGGACACAGTTTTATAGAAATCAACATATCTTGAAGAACTATACCAGAAGGTAAATAATGGTTCAGTAAGTTCAGAGAGCTCATGTCACAGAATATGAAATAGCAAGAAATGCAGAGGCTTGGGAATGAACAGCGAGTGCTAAGGGAAATCTTTTTTTTTACCTTAGCCATTAACCTCCCGATCAGTGAAACTATGGAAAGATAGGTTATGCAGCCCTAATAATGACTGTACAGAAATGGCATCTCCTTAATTCTTCAGAGCAAGTTACTTCTATAAAACTATAGCAGTGTTCTAGAGTTTTTTCTTTTAAAAGTATGTGGACTTCTGAAAGCTGTTGGACTTCTGCATATGGCAGGTATTACATTGTGGTGATTAATTTCATTTTTCTCTGCCCTTCATCAGGGTGTTTGCCCTAGGTTGCTGATTTCATGTTGGTTAAACTAGGCCAGTACCAGAAACATTGTCATTGTCTTCAATCAAATCCAGTCAATTCAAAAGATTTAGAAGTGAATATAATTCATCTCCCTAGAAATATGGCATGGACTTCTCTTGGGCAGTCTGATTAACATTTTCATAGCTCAGCAATTGTTGCAAAGGTATTTGAAGCATACAAATGTGTTGTACTCAACAAAAGATGCAAAAATTTCTGCTTCTCCCCACTCTGTTAATCAGAATGACAGCTAATATACTCTGAGAGCTTCATGATGCTGTCAGATACCACATCCTTTTGTTGTAATTAATGATGTTGTCCTCATGTGGTTCAGGAGTTTGGGGCACATTTTAATTCTTCAAGCTTGCTCGCCTGGTGGGGGTCCTGTACCCTTTTTTTCCTTAGGGTGGATGCAACTCTTCTCTGACTAGTGAATCCATAGGGCTGAAAAAAATGACTCAGATCTTGGAAGTAACTTAGACTTAAACATCTCAGCCTCTGTCCGTAACTTGGCTTTGAAATAGCTCAGATGGGATTTCCACTTAAGAGGCTTTCCCTACACACCTTCTGCGGAACTAGAGAGATAAGGATCTGTAGTTCAAACTGCTGCCACAACATCCGCTTTGAATGTGAGAGATGTTGCAAAATAAAGAGCTGTCATGGTTTGTTGTGCTTAATATCTGTAGCTACAGGACAATAAAACACTCTAGAAGCATGTTATTCCAGAGGATGAGAGATACAGATAGCACAATTCAGTGTGTTTTTCACAGTATTGAGAGAGGCTATCTCTTAAGAAAAAGCTGCTTTGAGGGCAGTTCTCCCTGCCTGAGCTCCCTAACCTGTGGTCCTCTGAGGAATGCACCTGCTGCACCACTTTTTTTGCAAGGGATAAGGTACCAGGCTACAAAAGAGACAAGCAGTTAGTCCCTTTTCCTGCCCTCTTTTTCCTGATCTCCCTTTTACTCCTTGCCACAGTGCTGACCAGTGTTTTTACCTGAATCTTGTACCTGTTAGGGTGCTTGTCATCCTGTAGTTTTTGGATGTGTTAATCCCACCTGCAAAATCACTACTTGCATTTGCACATACAGGGTGTATGTCATGTTAGGACAGTTCCTGCTGCAGTTTCACTGCTTAATATTATCAGGGCATTTATGGGATTTGCATGTATAAAGGTTCTTCCAACACTTTTCATTGTTTAAATTAATGCAGTCATTAGGAAAGAAGAAATTACATGAACATTTTATTTATGGGGTTCAACTTTTAGCTGATGAAAGATAAAATAAAATTATTTAACAAGGTGTGCATTTATGAAGGATATTAAAAGGGGGGAAAAAAGGTTCTTTCTGGACTTCGTTATTCAAAAAATCTGACTTCTGGTAAATTCACTAATTTAAGGATACATTATAAATACCTTTATCCCTCTTTCAATTTCTTTAAAGCCTCCATTCTGTTTTGCTTGCTCACTACTTGCATTCAGTAATAATTTCCTGGTGCTGTTAGCTCGTCACTATTAGAAGTCTTATGTGTTAGCTTGTGTATGCTTATATGTCATGAGCACTTTAAGCAGCCTTATACAAGTTATGTATACATACACTACTGAATATGGCAAATGCAGATGTACGAAACATAACCCTTCTGTATGCAATTGCTTGCATTCTGCCCAGAGAGGATGTGGCTGTTTCTTTAGGTCGTATGTTGCATATCTTCGAGTTTCAAATCTAGACAGACATTTTTACATGCCCTGTGCTTTTTTTGTGATTTTTTGATCCTCTGATCTCTCCTTTTCTCATCTTTCTGCATACCTGTGTTGCAAATAAAGTATTATACTAGTGAATTAGAGGAAATGGAGTCATAGTAATTCTGGTTGCTTAGGTAGGAAGCTGTGTGAGCAACTTCCTTGCCTCCCAGGCAGATGTCTTGTAGTGACTGAGTCTCAGGGATTAGCTGAAATGCTGAGAATAAGGTTTGGCGTCACAAGTCATTCACTCTGGCACCTTCATGGAGTTTTCCATGCTGTGGACTGCTACTGCTGTCTGCTAACAGCTTTTCTCAAGTCTGCATGGGTTTTTTGCTTGAGCTTCTGTTAGGTAGTAGTGGCTTCCTATCTCTACTGCCTTGCTCTTGCTAGCAACTGCTTCTTTTGGAAGAAGATAATAGGATATAATCTCTTTAGATTGCCTGAAAGAAGCAGAATTTAGAATAACACATTTTTTGTGTGTGTAATATACTGTCTTACAGAAAGAGTCTGCCTAAAATTCATTATGATATCCTAATGCTAAGTAAAAGACTGTATCTAGTTGGTAGTGCACATTATATAACCACTTTAGATTACATATAAAAATATGTGGCAGGACATATTTAAGTAATATGTAACAATTTAGATCTGCAAATAATTAATTACCTGGTAATGTCTAGGTCAAATTTGTGATTACATCGGGACTTTCCAATGAATTGTTGCTTAATTTCGTGTGAATTATTGCATAGCGCATGAAGGAAGGATTCAACACAGTACTTAGCATGAGCCCAGTGGTGTTCTATTCTGTCACACAGTTCCAGTGTGACTTCAGGCAACCAGATTAACCCCTGCATACCTCTTCTACAGTCTCTGGGCATAACCAGTCTGTACATAGGGAGTTCTGTAAGATGGAGTTCATTCTTGTTTGTGAAGCACTTTGAGATTCTTAGATGGAAAATATTCTATAAAGGAAGTAGAAGGGCAGAGTTCTAACTGTGCTGTTTTAAAACCCTCTGCATGTTTTTCTAATTTACAAGTCTTTTTGTTTATTGTGCCATGAGAAGAATGGAGACTAACTTATGTTTTCAGTGCAACAGAGGAACTTGTGAACTTCTCCAAGTTCACAACTGACTTCAGGCTCAGAGTATAATGTCATGTGTTCAGACAACTTTTTTTTTTTTAAGTTACCTTGCAGTGAAAGAAGGAAGTACAGTCTATGTACATGCAGCTCATTCGAGCAAATGAAACCTGTTCTGATTTCTAAAGCTGTGTTTTAAATTTCACACATTCAATTTCTTCCAGATCACCACAGACCTGAGGCAGCGTTGCACAGACAGCCATACTGGAACCTCAGCCTCTGCACCTATGGCTGCAGGCATCATTGCACTGGCACTGGAAGCAAAGTAAGATCCAAGTTATACTCTGCAAAAAAAAAAAAAAAAAAAAAGCATACTGAAAGAACTTTTACACTCATCCAGTGCCTTTTTCCAGGGATCTCAAGGTATTTCGGAAACTCTGTTGTAATAATTCACAGTAACCTTCCAAGGGCAGGAAAGATTCGTGTGCTTATTTCATCTGCAGAAAGCTGACACCATGGAAATGACAACAGAGTATGCAGTGTTGAAATGACTTGAAACTGTGTTGAACACAGATAGCTTCCACTAAATGATGTACAGCATTTTCACAATGCCTTACAGCACCCTCACAGTGCTGCCCAGATCCGCTGTACTCTGCAGGCTACTGTAGGTCACCTCTTGCGTTCATCAGGCTCTTCTTAGTGGTGTCCATTCTTCAGTGTTGAAAAAAGTTTTGGGGTGGTGTTAGGCTATCATGAACAAAAATGAACATAGTATGAAATACAGAAATTCTCAACTTCTGAATGCTGACACAAATCTCTTTTTTTCAGTGGGTTATTTTCCTCAGCTGTAAAATCTGGATGGTGTGGCTCCGTAGTCACTTTACCTCAGAAAAATTTCTGTCTTACACTTGTTCTCTCAACTGCAGGGTTTTGTTCTATGTCTAATAAGTATCTTTAATGTGCTTCATGGAGCAGCAGAAATACTGGCAATTTATTGGGTAAATATGTATTTCAAAACTTTTTGCATTATTTTATGCTGTATTAGGTAATATTGGCAGGTCTGAGGTGGAATGCTCCACCACAAGTCCTGCTTGAAATCAAATGTTTCTGTGTAGTAGGACACCAATTCTGTTAAATTCCGAAGAAGACCAGTTTCCTCTGGGGACTTCCAGTTCCTTGGAAGGAAGTAAAAAATTTTCACACAATAGCAATTTCAAATTATATATAATTTATAACAGTAGAATTATTTTTACACTTTCATGTGCTTTTTTTTTTTTCATGTTCAAGAAACCATGGGCCAGTTTTCAGTGCATAATACCTTTTCCCTGCTGAGTTATAGTCATAAGAGTTAGTAATTGAAGAGCTGACATAATCATAAATAGTGTAGTACTTGTATCATTATAATTAATTTTCTTAATGCAATCACTAGAAACAAAGGTATTTTTAAAAGTTAATATAATGCTATTGTTTCAAGTATATATATATATTTTAATTTCAGTTTTAAAATCTTTAAATCATTCTAAACATCCTGCACATGCAGATAAAATTGTATGTGCATAAATTTAATTCTGCTGAAAGTTTTTCTAATTATTTCTTAATGAATGGAGTTTGCTTGGTAATTTATTGTTTGTGTTCTATATGACGTTTTGCCTGCATTTTCTAAAAGATTATTATTGTAATTGAAACTTTCAAAGAATTACAGCACAAAATAACTACAACCAAGTTATTGCTGTGAGAAAACACACAGAAGCTTACACTTTACAAAAGCTTTTTTCTTTGTGAACATTGGTGACTATACCAATAAGAAGTCCTTGTTAGTGCTATGGACTAGTTTGGAGTTGGGTTTTTTTTTCCAAACTAATAGTTGGTATGATAGGAACAAAGACAAGACTGCATTAGTTTCATATGCGATGATAGAGACAAAACGCGCCAGCGACTAAAGACCCTAGTCACTTTCTTGTGTTTGTAGTACTTTGTTGCATGGTGCTAATGAGATTTCGGGTGAAAAAATATCGATTTAATCTTCTTTCAGATTCTATTCTATTTGTGTATATGGAGGGATCTTTCTCTTTTCCAAATGTTGGCCTGTTTTTTAATAGATTCAAATGACATATTAATAATATCATATATCTGGTTTTATTAATTTGTAGATGTTTTTTAACTTTTCTATCCTAAGAGTACTTACAACCAACCTTCTGAGCACAGCTATGAAAGAAAAAAGAAAAAAAAAAAAGAAAAAAAAAAAAGAGGAAATTAGGGAAACAAATGTTTCCAGCTTTCCCATTATGTTTTTCCCATTAATTAATCCAGTCCTAGGGTTGGAGAAGCTGTTGGTCTTGTGAACTTACAGATTATGAAGTAAGACCTTAGTATTACAAGGCAATGATATCATAATATATTAATAGAATTATAGACCGGTTTGGGTTGGAAGGGACCTTACAGATCATGTTCTTCCTGCCTTGGGGTGGGGCACCTTCCACTAGAGCAGGTTGCCCAAAGCCCATTGAACAGTATCAGGGATAGGGCAGGCACAATTATCTTGGCAACCTATTCCATTGCCTCACCACCCTCATAGTAAAGAATTTTCTCATAATGTCTGATCTAAATCTACCCTTTTTTCAGTTTAAAACTATTCCCCCTTGTCCTGTCACTACATGCCCTTTTAAACAGTCCCTCTCCAGATTTCTTGCAGGCCCCATTTAGGTACTTGAAGGCTGCTCTAAGATCTCCCTGGAGCCTTCTCCGGGCTGAATAAGCCCAAATCTCTCATCCTGTCTTCATAGAAGAGTTGCTTCAGCCCTTTTATATATTTGTGGCCTCCTCTGGACTTGCTCCAGCAGGTCCACATCCTTACGTTGTTGTCCTCACAGCTAGACACAGCACTGCAGGTGCTCTCATAAGAGCAGAGGGGCAGGATCACCTCCTTCGACCTGCTGGTCACGCTTCTTTTGATGCAGCCCAGCATACAGTTGGTTTTCTGGGCTGCAAGCGCACACTGAAGCTGGCTTGTGTTGAGCTTCTCATCAACCAACACCCCAAGTCCTTCTCCTCAGGGCTGCTCTTTATCATTTGCTGTCCAGCCTGTATCTGTGCTTGGGAAATTCAATTTTACTGTCTTGGATTTGTTTGTATAGAATCTGTTCAGATTATTTTAATCCATTTCTAAATGGTTATTCTCATTTATTTATCTGGTTTGAAAATTCAGGTTGTATTTTTCACCTGTGATACCTGCCAACTTATGTAATCCTAAATAATGTTAGGAATTTAAAGTATACAAAAAAGCCTTTTGAAGCCATGTTAAGTATTTTATTTAATACTTCTAAAATATATGGCATGAAAAGGACACGATAGTGTGGCTTAGCATTAGGACTTACTGGAACTCGTTTGCATTCGAACAGAGTTTGTCTTTACGCAGACAGTTCCCTAGATGCCATATTAGTGCCTCTGCTAATAGCACACTGTTTATATGAATTTTTTTTTTTTTACAGATTAGTTGGAAAGGGATTTTGCAAAACTATTTATGATTATTATATAGCAAGCTCTTTAAAAATTAAGCACTTAGTCCTGAACACTTCTTGAATATGTCTGTAGTAATGTGTAGATTTATTCCACTTTGTGCTGCAAAACACAACAAACTGTACCGTGGGAGGGTTTTGGGTTTATGGGGTCGGTTTTCTCTAGTAGCCAAGTTCTGTTCCTGGGAAACATCAGGAGGTGAGCAGAGCACTAGCCTGGCCTGGATATGAGTCATAACAGCCAAGAGGTTGCTTCAGCTCACATACAAAGGTACATTAAACCAATGGAAAATGAGCAAGGCGGATTTCCACTCTGACCTGCCATTTTCTTGCTTTGATAAGCCTCATATGGTGAGATTGGCAAGTAGCTGATGGAAGACCTCTTACCTCACTTAATAAACCCTAATTTGAACCCTCCACTTGGTTTTCAACTGGGATTTGCTCCTGAAATCCTGGTTTGGGATTGTGGTCTACAAAATACTGCAATTTGAAATAATGTGAACACATCCTTTTTTTATTTTCTATCCAGCATTTGAGTGTCAAGTGGCATGTTCTCCTTCAGGAATCAAAGACTTATAACTGAGTTTCAGACTGCTTGTTTGGGATCCCTGAGGGCAAAATGTAGATATGTGACAACTATCACACAAAGGATATCTCTTAATCTTCATATTCTGTGGTTTTCTTATGGTATTCAGGTAGTTAATTGATATATGTAATGATTCCTGGTATATCTAGGATCCTCTTCAGGCTTCATGAATAAATGCTTGCGTATTGCACTTCTTAGTCATTACATAATGTTGAATTATGGTAATTGCAAACCAGCAATTATGAAGTGTAATCCACTTAGTCAGACAAGAGAGCAATGTTCTTACTAAAAGTGAACTACTTGTATTGCATAGTACCATCTACTGTTAATATGAGAAATACTTTTTCTCATTGATGAAAGGTCTGAATTTGGAAATTGGGTGAATCAGGGACAGGAGAGTCACTATGCTCACATTTGTTCCAGTGGGTATTGTGCCATGTTCCTTTGGAGAAGCCAAATTTAAAAAAAAAAAAAAAAAAAAAAAACACAAATAAATCTTACGTTGCTGATGGAAGAATACATTGTACATCCCCAGATGAACTGCATGCTTCACTGTCTGTAAGCCAATGCATATTTTCCAACCCTTGATAACGGCAATTACCTGAGTAAGAAGTACCACCTGAAATGGAAATATTAATCTGCTGTATTTCTACTGTGTGGTATACTCTGAGGTACAGCTTTGGAGAGTCTGTTTTCTTCTGTGATTCCTTTTACGTGAGCTATATACTTCATTTGTCTGTGGTTACATGAAACCAAGCCTAAGAACAAGGTAATGCTGGGAAGAGATGAAGAAATTCAGTTAATTCTGATACCAGTGATCCAGTCAGAAATGTGAGAATGCATCACATTCTTGTAAAAGGCAGTACAACCAAGAACAATCACTGAGATGAACGGAAAATTGAGTTCACATTGCAAGGGGTCAAGAGCGTCAGAGGAAAATACTTTGGATTTCTGAAAACTGATTAGACACTTGCAATATTTCCCATAGTGATTGGTTGTCTTACAGAAAGGAGGAGAGTAATGTACTGTCTAGCAAGGGGCAGGTTTGGATACAAAGAACATATTTCTGTGTCGTCAAAGTTACGAGGCTTTTACTGGTTTGTAAGTATAGTCAGGGGCTAAAGGTGATGAGACAGGCGAGGCAACTGTGGAAATGCTGGCAGGTGACCTCTATATGCAGGCTTCCAGTGTAAGAGAAGGAGATGTTGTCATCTGAGTCAATCA